ATGAAGCATAGGTAAGGTATGGCTGATTTCATAAGTTATACATTTTAAATTAATGTGTTTGCCACATTGCGCCAATTTAAATGCGAAACACATGAACGACGCGTGTACATTTTTTAAAGTGTGTAACATGCGTGAGCCGTAATTACGGTATTTTTTTTTTAGATGGCGAACTCTCATTTTTTACGCCTTCCACCCTGCTCATGCCGTTGATCACATTTAATAAGGGAAGCATAAAAGGGAAAAATATGTCGCAACAAATTCTCTCTATCATACCTGTTTTCTAAGGCATGGAGTGGAAGTTGTTTCATCAACGACCTGATGAGACAGCTTATAGAAGTTACATTCAAATTCAAATTCCTGTTCAGAAATTTTCCCTTGATTTCGTTGAACTTCGATGAAATTCTTTAAACTTTCCTGATGATCTTAGAACTTTACATTCAAATTCAAATCCCTGTTCAGAAATTTTCCCTTGATTTCGTTGAACTTCGATGAAATTCTTTAAACTTTCCTGATGATCTTAGAACTTCTTTGAAGTTCGCAGAACGTTTCTGAGTTTGTCATTTTTTATCTGGATTTCTCAGATATTTCTTAAAGTTCACAGTACTTTCCTAATATTTGTAAATTTTCCCTGTGGTTCACAGATCATCCTAAAGTTTGCAAAAAATTCCGGGCGTTTAAAGAACTTTTTGCAGAGCATCATTAAAATTCATATAATGTTGCTATAGTTTATAAAACTCTATTTTTTTTATTATAATCACTTTAACACTCTTGGGTCATTCGTGACTTGTCCGGGGGTGAGATTTGAACTCGTGACTTTGGCGTGAGAGGTATGGATGTTTACCACTACGCCGGGGTCGCCCCCTATTACAAAACTCTCTTATCTTCGTAGAACTTACCAGGAGGACATTAAACTCGCCTGAAGCTCACAAAATGTCCCTGAATTTGGCATAATTGTCCTGAAGTTTGTAGAACTTCCCTCGCTGAAGTTCAATGAGCTTCTCTGAAAGTTGCTAAAACTGCAGAACTTTCCTAAATTCGCCACAGTTTCCTATAGTTCACGGAATTTCCAAGAAAGTCACTGTACCTTCCTGAAAGTTTCCTTAGACAAAATAAGGGAACTGCAAGAAGCTCTAGCAATTCTTTAGTAATTCAAGATTAAGGCTACCTAAACATACTGGGCAAGAGTTTCTAACCTCGTGTGGGTTTCATTCCTGTATTATGGCCATTATCGGTTAAACGATTTTCTAACAAATTTGTCATGGTTGCCAGAATTTATTTTCGATCTCGCCGTTGAGTCAAACATCTTTATTTATTTTTAAAAATCCAAGCAAATTTACCACCTCTCAGGATTGCACACGCCACCTTCGCCACCTACTGAGTACGGGACACAACAATTTCGGATACTTACTATCTCTTGGATTAATTCAATCAACTATTGAACCTTGCTTGACTGAATTTATTCAATTCGTAATAGTTTGGTATCGTCAATAGTCCAAATACGCCTTCATAATCAGCATTTTAAACTTCAAAACACTCTTTCTCAAAAAACCCAAGATGAAATATTTTAAAACCATCACAGATTTGCTTGTTAGGATCAATACTAACATTCTGTGAAGAAGACACTGAGGTACATGAATGTTGCAAAAAAAGTGCCTTCAGGCATAGCGTGTGGGGATCAGGAAAATTAAGACTTTGGCATAAATCCTGTCTGGGATCCGGAGAATCTTGAATTACATACAATGAATCTTAGGATACAGATAATCTAAGATTGGATTCAGATAATTATGATTGGGATTTGGACAATCCTAAACGAAATCCATAATTTTCCAATTTCCCGTCGACATCAGAATAATGTGTCCGAGATTTCGATCATTTTTCCCTTTCCTATCCTTCAATGACATTGGTTTGAAACAAGTTTCAGTGAGGATTCTATGGATTTCATTCGAGATTTTTACAGTCCCGGTCAAAACGGAAGATTTAAAGATGACAATGACTCTAATGCAGCGTTTCTCAATCCATGGGTCGCGACCCACTGGATGGTAGCGGGCTACTCTTAAATGGGTCGCCAAAAATCAGGCAACTTGATCAGAAGTATTGTAATTCACTTAATCTAATTTAAATCTCTAAACGGAATCTTGCTCCCTTAAATATTGTATCGGTCCCCAATAATTTACGATTTTCAATGTCATCTTAGCGATTAGGTTAATTTATTTGCTGTTCTGTCATTTAATTTCAGGACTATTTTCATGTTTTCAGGCTAATTTGGAGATTTAAAGACCATTTTGCGATTTAGAAGCCATTTTTGCCATTGATTTCGTACACCTTTTGTAAATCTCACAACGTGGGTCATAATCAAGAAAAGTTTGAGAACCACTGCTCTAATGGAATGGAGGATGCCGGTCGAGTAACAATCGGTAAGTACAAGTTGTTTGATATTCTGCCAGAATTCGATTGGATCAGAAAAGTCGACCCTTCAGGTGTGATCTTTCAGATATTCACTTCCTCAATCGGAAGGAAAATACACTCTACGGAAGCATGAAGAGCAGGAATTTCCGTAGCAAAACAGATAAATGCCTGTCAACAAACAAGGATAATCACAAGACGATAATCCTTGAGAGAACTGAATGTTGATGATTTACTTTCTTGGATCAATCCGCTTCATTTTGCTGAGGATCTTTTTTCCGGACTTACTTTCAACTTTGTATTCTTTGAAGCACTTCCACAACTATTAAATGAGAGCTTTTTATGGCAACCAATGCACAAATTTGTATACTCCCAGTCCCAGGGAATTTAAGAAAATTTCAAACCCGAAATATTTTCGAAGCCGAATCGGGAAATTGAGTTTCTAACCATCCTGACCATAACTAGTATTACAATTACTTATTAATGAAGGCATTCGTCATGTTCTTCCGAACAATTGTCTCATGCACTGAAAACAACCAAAAATATCTAATCGCGATAGACTCATCCTTCTTCCCAGCACAATATACTGTAGACTCCTCCACCCCTCCCCCTTTTCACTCGATAGCCATTAGTGACAGCTGTGAGCGGTGTTCGTAAACCGATCGAGCGCGCTAATTTCAACACATATGTGTCACTAATTTATGCAAATCGAAACTATAATGCGCTAATTAAAATTCAAACCGATAATCCGTCGGCATCACCAACAATAACAGCAACAAGAACGCGACACGGCTGCCGTCGTACATTTACGGATAATTTAATCCGGAAATAATACGTTCGACGGAACAGATTCGATCCTAATCGCTGAAGGATCTCAAAACTCGAAGCGATAGGCGATAGGCCATGGCTGGCGGGACGATATCCGTGCGTTGTATATAGATCGTAAATAGTCACAAATTAGCTCTTGGCCTGGCTGCTCATACTCATGTGTTCCAAATATAGCATAGCATAGGTTTGCTACCCAAGGACCAAGACAAGGACGACGACGACGACGACGGCAAAAGCTCCTCCTGATGGGTTGGTAATTAAAGATGTTGAAAATGAACCGTTCTATATGCTGACAATGTCTTCTGCCAGATTAGGTGCTACCCCCGGAGAAGCGAGAGCGGCTCAGGGTGGAGATGAGCTGTGAAAAGCTTTAACGAAAGGCGAGGAAGAATCGATTTGTCGTCAGCGTCGTCGTCGTCGTCCTAGTCCTCGAAGTAGGCAAAATCCTTTCCCGGGATGGGATGGTTAGGACGCGCGTGCGACTGTGTTGGTGTTGCATCGTTACCATGGTGACCCTCATTCGGTATAATGTGCGAAGGTGTTGGTGTGAAAGATTAGAACATCGTTGGGGCGCATGTCTTCCAAATGTTTCTCGTGTGCAACAACCAACACTAGCTCAGCAGTAGCTGCTGCTGCGGCGGGGGTGGTTGGTAAAGGGGTGAGTTGCCACCACCCACCGACCGTCGTCGACCAGGCTGCTGCTGCTGCGCTGGGGGGTATTTGTATGTTGTGTATATAGAAAGAGCGTGTTTAGCATAAAAATGGCTTTAGCTCTATCTCTGTCTCACTCGTCGTCGTCGTCGTCGTCGTCGTCATCGTCGGCGAGGATGTGTTTGCGAACAGCGCGAGGTGTTAGTTTGATAAATTAGGTACGAAGCATAAAATACGCTGTTGATGGCGGGGATGGTCACACTGTGAAAATTTCGTGCAAAACTTAACTACCGTGCCGAGTTGTTGTCGGCGGATCTGGGGTTCATGGCGGGGTGGCCGGGGTGTGTTGGGTGGGGATCTTGACAAATTGATCTTTTTTCCTGAGCCATTTTTCGTACACCTTGGCTCGTGGGCCCTGCAGGGACGACGGAGATGGCGCGGATCTTTGCGGTTTACATCGAAAGGATGCTCGGGCTGCTGAAATTTTCTGGACCATGACTGGTAAACCGGAGTGAAATACAGATTCAAGATTCACACACTCTCGGGGGTATATGCGCAGCACAGCACCCAGAGTGCCGAGAGAAGAGACGTGTTAAAATGTGACTGAAAACTATCTGTTATCGAGAGTGTCCACTGGGCAGCAGCAGACGGTCTGGCTTTTTGATTGATTTTCTGGTCACACCAGATACTGGGGAAACTGGTTCTCGGCCTAAATTCAGTCGAGCGTTTCAATTAGAGCTGCCTGCCTGGAAACGGGTATGGGGGGTGGAAGAAGGGCTCCGGACGCGGGAGGACGAAAGCGTAGAACCGGTATAAATTACATTAATTTATATGTTCGTCTCCCACACCTAGACCAGGACAGGGCGCTAACCCGATTTGCCTGACGAGGGTGACACTTTAACAGAAGAGGGTACCGCCCTCATACTAATTATCCGGAATGTCTCAATAAAAACGCCGGTCGTAAATTATACGGCAGACGGCGGCGTAGCAAGGGAAATGTATGTTTATCTCATTTCACATAAACCATTCATCATGTTCAAAATCTTATTGGATTCAAAATTGGTCAGCTAAGTTCGAGGAGTTAAAGTTAAATTCATGTGTACAGATTTATTATTTACCAGTCGGTTCCTCTGAGCAGAACTTGGTGAATGAATCTGTAAGAAAATAAAAGAACCCTTAGGAAAAGTAAGCAATAGTTTGGTATGTTTAGTTATTGAATAGAAATAGATAGATTTTTGTCATTTTGAACATTGTGCTGCGATTTATTCAAGAACAAATTAAAAATAACTAGGTGCAAATGATCCGTTTTGCTCCTAGCGTTGCCGACCGTGGCAACGAAGAGTTCTTTTGAACAGTAAAAGTTTTGAATTAAACATGTAAATCTGCTGCACTGTCGAGAGCATCATCCGAAAAAAAATCGGAACGAACAAGGAAGTCGTGAAGATTCAGTCTACTAGCGTAGTTTTCTTAGAATAACAACGGAAAATTTGAATTATGTCCTGAAGTATGTTACCATGATAATTGTGAAGCAGAATATTAATATAAGAAATGCTGTGAACTCCAAACTTGTCCTTTAAGCTCCAGGAGCTAGTGAGCTTTTGAAGATACAAATATTGTGGGATTTTCAAATGCATTTAATTAAATATCCGGAAGACTCTAATGGCGACAGCTCAAAATACTTGTGATCTATCAATTTGTAATTTTTCATCGCGAATTAATATGAAATTTGAACACAAATTTGTGTAAAATTTGAACTCACTTTTAACCGAAATTTGAATCAAGTCTGAATAATTTTTTTATAAAAAAAAATCTGACTATGGTGACCCTTCTGACGTATTGACTTCATGAATCGTATGATGGCTTTAGGCAAGGGATCGGATGCTACTCAAATTTCTGCGAGTAAAACACACGGTGTTAGGAGACAGCACATTCATTTCGAAAGAGACGTGAAAGAGAATTTGAAACGTGCAGTACATTTCATTCTTTTTGTGCTGGAGAGCGGCCGCCCCAATGGTATAATGTCTCTTTATCTCTATCTCTCTATCCCTCTTTTGTTTTTTGAGAGAGTGTGATCTTTCTATAGGTAGCGCTATAGTTCAGCTGGAGAGATAGGTACCAACTGGAGTTCTTTTCAAGCTGAAAGACAATCAGTTGTCATGGCGAAAGGTAGTAACAGCAAGAAATGTAAATCAGACATTGAGCCGCATGAATGATGAGAGTAAACTCTCTTAGCTTAGCTTATGGAGTACTTAAATTCTTTCTTTCATACTGCCCTTTTGTTTTGTTTAATGTTGATAAAGAAAAAAAATAGCAAGATTGTTCTGCATTACTTTTTTAATGGCTAAGGACCGATTCCTTCACCTGCGTTTAAACTTTAAACCAAGTTCTACTAAAACGGTTAACTGGTAAGCGCAGACGTAGTATCCAAAGTGACGGATCAACAAGCTTTCATGTACCTCGGGGTTTTTTTTTTTACTTAAAGGTAGTTTGGGTGCTCACATTAATTGGATAGTTTTAAAATATTATATCCGAAAAGAATTGAAGCAGGGAGCCGTTTCCTACATATTTCGAAAAAGTAGTGTAAATTTCTGTTCAATATGATGAACATAAATGGAGCGTCACATATCAAATACGTTTACATTATATATCATGTAAAGTTCTGACACATTTCATGCAATGAAGCAAATATTGTATACAAAAGCCCATCTTTGTAAACAACATTGTTTGCAAGTTGCTCGGTTGCGTGAAATGAAATGCAAGTGAATGAATGTTTTCATTACAATTAAAATTCAGAATTTTTATCTGTGTAATATTTGTATGGAAAATTATGATGCAACCAAATAATTTTCCTCATTACAATCTTTTAAAACCAAACGATTTAGGAATGTCGGCACCAATACAGTGGCGTCACGTCCACATGTTCAACCTGTGCACGACACAGGTGTAAATAATTTAAAAAAATGCGTTTAGATTTTAATAGATTTTATGGCCACATTCAAGCTGTACTTATTTAGTCCAGACCACAAGTGACCATGAATAAACTATTTTATAGTGTGGCTCAATTGAATCTTCGACCTTGGTTTGCTTCAAAAAGGATTAAATTCAGCTCGGATGGTCTGCCTAATCCCTAATGCATTGATTTCTAAGCATGTCGATATCACTACCATGACAAAACTCGTTAAATAGTGCACCTAAAAGCGAGCTTTTTTGGGTGGCGGGTGGCAAGTTTGTGAATGGTCAAATGCCTGATGTAAGCCAAGCAGACCTTCTATCACCTCTTGAAACATACCACAAACTTTTCCACAATACATGGCAGTTTGAAACACTAGTTGTAATTCAAGACCAACAATTGAAATGGCCTTAACTCCATTTTGTAAACAAACATTGTAAGGCCATTTTCTCGCGAACCGAAATTCACAAAGGCAAACCAACATAATGAACAGGTAGGGGAAATTCTCCTCTACCCTATTGTGGTTTAGGTTTGCGAATGAAGATTTCGGTTCGCGAGAAAATGGCCTTACAAGGTTTTTTTTACAAAATGGAGTTAAGGCCATTTCAATTGTTGGTCTTGAATTGAAACTTTCAGCCGTCACGCGTCAAACGGGAGCAACACGAAAACAGCAGTCTGGTACGCTTTGGACGTGTATCATACTTGCAGACCGGTATGAATGTGTGAGTTTAAATAAGAAGAACATTTGTGATGTATGGGTGCCTAAAGTGTGCATTTCTTGCTGTGCACTTGGATATCTGATTGCAGGCAAAGAGAGTAATGGAGAAAGAGAGCGCAAAAGCTCGCTCTCACCCTCTTGTCAGTTGTAAATCTCTCAATCAAATCTCTCTGATGGTTGCGCCGGTGCGCCTGTACGAACTTATAAGCTTCCCTGGTCCATTCTGATAGTGTTGTTCTGATGAATAAAGAGTTGATTAATTCAAGTTTGCTACCCAGGGGACTTCATGAATTTTCTCTAGGTTATGAAACTGTTTTGTATCAAAAAATGTTTTCGGAAGTGTTTGACGGATATTCTTCATTACGCTTCAGTCGAAAGAGAACTCTTTGACTTCCTTGCGATAAAAACGAGAATTAGTTAAGTTTTGCAATTCCTCCTACGTCGGTTAACGCAAAAAGGGCCATATATACAGTTTATTTACACAAGATGAAAGGCCCTCTGCACCCATACAAACTTTTTGTGATGAAAAAACGAGTTACATGAAAATGGATTAATCCACCACTTCGGATACGTGTGAAATTGAGTAAAACTTTAATTTATTTGCTGATGCTGTTCTGTATGCAAAAATATAGTTTGACAGATTTAAAAAACGGCCCAATTTTCGAATGGCGTTCGGTAGATGGATTGAAGTTCTCTGCTATTTTATTTACCGCACGGACCTAAACTTGCTACATAACAAGAATTAAATGAGCATTGCACATCGAGCTTGTAAAAAGGCCACATTAGTAGAAACACATAATTTGATATTTTTCCACGCTATTGAACACATGACTGTCTATATTATGCGCCCAGCCTATCGTCCGTAGTCATTGCTGTAAATCTCTAAACCACGTCTCCCCCGATTGAAAAGTGCCACTCTCGTCAACACATAGTGCACTGCTCGAATGTGCTATGCGCGAGTGAAACCCGTGCAATCCAACTGCTCTCACCCAGGATTTCTCTCTCCTTTGTCTCATTCTGCCACCAAAGATAAGAGACACGCTCCCGTATTTGAGAGCAGCACAACTATGTTTTGCACCACTCTGAGTTTCTAGCCCATCCCTGGTTTTGACCCTGGAGCTGGAACTGGAAACTACACAAGGTGCACCCGGAACATGCCCAATATGGTCCTGGGCGCTTGAGATAACCACCATTGCAACCACCAGAAACATATCCGAATGCAGCCAATTTAATCCTGGACCAAGGAATCAAAAATAGCTACAAATGACAAAATGACAAGCGATCAACGAACTGAATGATAATGCTATTTCAGAAGTGAAAATCAATCAAGCAGCCCATGCGATACAGCTTACTCGGGGCGGTAGAAGGAAACAAGCAAATTGTTGTCAAGCTGCTTCACGAAGTAAAGCCGAAGATGATACACGTGTGTTAATGGGATTTTTTTTTGTTATGTCTTTTCTCGAGTCAGATCAAGCTATAAAAGCAATATATCATTATCCTTCAACCACTCCGATCGAGCTTGTCATGGTAGTCGTAGCAACCGTTTTGTCTGTATCGTTGGTTGCTTTATAAGTTTGGATTCGCTGTCCTGGACGCTCAAAATGATAACCATTGATCTTATGGTTGTGTTATCGTGTGATTGGAGATGTCACATGATGGGTGTCGTATGATAGAGTTTGGTCGAAATAAGAAACTGTAAACTTCCCCATTTCCAGATGTGGCCAATGTGGTCCTGGGGACTTGATATGACCAACATTTAACTTGGTTTTGAGCAGTGATTCCTGACGGGGAAGCTGGGAAAAACTAACGGAGAAAGTTGGAATAACTTTTGGGGGAAATTTATAGAAATTTCCTGGCCAAGTCAGATGAATCTTCCAAGGGCAGTTGCAAGAGTTTTTAGTGTGAAGTCAGAAAGCTTCCGGGCGAAGAAACTTTCAAGCGAAGCCAGTAGACGCTTCTGAGGCAAGCTGTGGGGAATCCAGGAAACGATGAAAGGAATTTCTGGGAGTAAGAAGGAGAAGACAGAAGCAAAGGCAGTCATAGGGTAGGGACCTCTGTGGAAGCTAGAAGAAACTTTCAGAAGAAGTCAGTGATAAATTCACATGGTCAGCGATAAATTCAGATGGTGGTGTTATGATTAAGCGAGTTGATGGGTCGATGTGTAGGGTCCAGGTGTGGGAGCTGCCTCCCTGGCGTCGGTAGCATTGGTGCTCAGCACGGACAACAAGATCGACCGAAAACAAATCACATGGTTAAACATTTTCAAATATTTTGGTTCTGTTAGTTCATGTAATTAACAATCCAGCATTTTACAAGCGCTCATGGCTGCCACAATCTGGTTGAGTTTCTGATAGGGATCATGTCAGGCATAACATTTGATAACGGCACAAAAGTATTTGTAAACAAACTTTCTAAGGCCCTTTACACGCGAACCAAAGTAAGCCCTCAACACAACATCATCGGATAGGGACAACTATCACCTTTCC